AGAGTCTTTTAAAACCAATGTACTATAGATGATGGAATTTCAGAAGTGCAAACTGCCTTTGCTGAAATTCTTTCTTGCATGTAAATTAACCATGTAATGCTCTTCTTTCACAACTTACTACTCTATTTATAGAAGGTAAATTAGGTTGAGTGAGCTGTAATTTATAAGTATTGTATGCCTTTCTAGAGGGGAAATCAAGTATCAGCAAAATACTTCAATTTCTAGCACTCTCTGTTCTCCAAGATAAGTGATACTTTATGTTCTTGAAGTAGGATATGTATATCTAAGAGTATGAGTATCTCCAAAAATATGTTTATTTTTGGGGAAGAAGCCACTTATGACTCAGATATCAGGTGCTGTTTACGTCCTTTGATAAACTAAAGTTCCCTAGTTAAAACCTGAATGTACAGATGCATGTACTCTTATGTCTAAAGTTTCCATTAAAAGTCATCATCATCAACAGATACTGTATAAGGGAAAGCTTTACACTATTTTGCAGAAGTACTACAGATTAACCAATCTGCTTATAAAGCCTCTGAATAACAGGATTTTTATATATGTAAAAGAATAGTATAGTACAGGGATGTCAAACTGCCGGCCCATGGGCTGGATGCATCATGGTGAAACCGCGCCCACCCCATAGCTGGCAATGAAAAAAAAGTCACGATACGTTGTGACACATCACATGATGTTGCGAGTTTGACACCCCTGCTATAGTATGCCTAATAACAGTGCTTTGAAAAATAAATAATTTGAAAAATAGTTTAAAATTACACACAGAGGGCCTCGAAGTAATGCCCTCTGCATAGGCAGAGAAATCACATAATGGTAGATGAGAACAATTCTTTCTTCTATGAACACTTCCCTGCCCATAAAGAAAATTAGCAAGTCAAAATGAGTGGCAGCATGGAAGTCTGCTGAACTATTTTGAGCTAGTCACTCTCTTTCAGCCCAACCTATCTCATTGGGTTGTTGTTGTTATGGAAAATAGGAGGAGGGAGCATTGGGTATACTACCTTGAGTTGTATAAGGCAGGATATAAATCTAATAAATATATCTTTCTCTTAATTTAGTATTTTGCAGTTTTATTTTCAAAGATAACTTCAAATACAAGCAGTACATTCACAAGAAAATTCTTGCATGTGGCAAATTGGTACAGAATTACACTCAACTAATCCACCTTTACGGTAATTTAAATCACTTGGTATAGATCTGTAGAAAATCATAAATATGGCCTTGGAAAAGGAATATTACAGTTAGCAAAACATTTTTAAGCCCAGGAAAAGAAATCATGTTAGAAGCATAAAATGACTCCATCCTAACAACCTTTAGTATAAGAGGAAGGGAAAAAAGGCCTTCAAGATAGTCACCATACCTTATATTACTAAAATAGATTTCCAATATTTTTTAATGGAGTTAGTTTCCTAACATGGCCTACCATGAAAGGATAATATCAGTCTTAAAAGCCTGGCACTGATCCCCTGATACCAAAGTTAAGGCAGATCTAGTTTAAGTTTAATTCTAATGTCTGTTCCCGTCATGCAATTAAATCATGTTTTGCTAACTAATGCATGCCTTTTCCAAAGTCTCCTCTGTCCTTCTCTACAACAGAGATTCTCAACTGGAGCACTAGGAATTCCCTGGGAAATCATGATTTATTTTTTAAAAAAGAAACAAAACAAAAACCTTCTAGCCTCCACTGGAGCATGCTTGGATCCCGGGCAGGATTGTGGTTTGCGCACAAGCAGGGTGATGAGCAAAGCATGAGGTGAGGAGTGAGGAGCAAGCCAAACCAAGAAGTGGCAAGGGAGGATGTCAAGCTCTCAGAATCAGCTCAGCTGCAACATAGGCTGCTTCAGGCACTCACTTGGCCCCTGCCCAGCAATTCCTCCTGGAACCTCTGTACCTTGCCGAAGTGTGCAACTTACAAGCAAGCAGCAAGACTAACCAGCAAAGATTGACAACAGCTGTGCAAGCTAGGCAGGGAGAGGATTTAAGTCTCACAGAACTGGGTTTCCCTTGCAGGAAGCAACTTGAGCATTTAGGTTCATGTTCTGTGACCCAGCCTTAGAATATAGTTATTTACTACTCTGGCTTAATTAACTAAGCCTTTGTCCTTTCCTTGACTTGGCATTGTAAATCTTCAGCTTGACTTTGGATGGCTTGACTTGGAATTCACATTTGCCTAGCTGAGTTCATCTGCAAGTAACTGCTTTTTTTCCTTTCTTTTGCATTTTTCATCTTTTAGCTTTTAAAATTGTATTTTATTTTTTTAATGCTGGTCTATGACCGTAATAAAGATTTCTGATATGCTAACTCCTGTTGCCTTGCTGTTGGAAACAAGTTCTCTCCTTAACCCAAGTCCTCCCTTTAACATTGTGTGTATCTAGTGTCTGACTCCTGAAGGGATGCTAAGAAAACCAAGATGTAGAAGAGGAGTTAGGAGAGGAGGAGCAGTAGGCGGTACAGAGCACACGAGAGACATGCTACCAGGGTCTCTGTGCTAGGGCTCTCCTTGATGGTGTGGCCTGCCTTTCTGTAACTGCAGAGGCCCAGAGGGAGGGGCTCTCTCTAAGGGCAGGCACTGATCTAGGGCTGGGCTGGGCTGGGCACCATCAGCAACAGGCATATACCTGCCTTTCTGCAGGCACACACCTGCCTTTCTAAGGATGCAGGGCTGTTTTTCTGCAGTCACAGTGGTGGTGGTGGGGGCTCTGTCTTAAGACAGAGATCTAGGACTAGCCTGGGCACCAGTGGCAGCAGGCATATACCTGCCTTTCTTCAGGCCAGATGGCCCAGGGTGGGCACTCTGTCTCAGGCCAGGCGCAGGAGATCTCAATCTGGTGTGACCTGAGCAGCAGTAGGAGCCACTCATAAAGCAGTGGGGAGGGAAGGGAAACATTTCTTTAGTTTGTTAATGCAAATATACAGGACTACACATGAATATAATTATTTTGTACCTACTGGCCTATATTTTAGTCTGAACATGCAGGGATTCCCTGGGGCCTGAAAAATACTTTAAGGGCTCCTTCAGGCTCCAAAGGTTGAGAAAAGCTGCTGAACAATAAAACCAGTCTAAAACCCCTCAAGACAGTGAGCAAAGTTATCCTTATCATAAGGGTCAATAGCCAGTAGCATACAGTTAACTTACTAAACAGTCCTAGGACTGTTCATAAAATTAACAACGATCACTGTCAACATTTATTGTAAAGGGGCACCAACCATAGAATGATGCCTCCTGAAACAAGCTGCAAAAATTGAACTATGGATTATAAAAGCAGATTATGAAATATCCTGGCTGACATCAGCAAGTCCCACTCTGAGGAAGTACCCTAGCATTTACATACTTCATTGTCTTTATTGTAGTTAATCAATGAACTGTAACAGAATAGAAACTCATAGTAGAGGTAAGAGCTGTGCTTGTCAATATAAAAAGACACGGTAGAATTCAGATACATAAACAAAGTTGCCTCTGCACTTGAACCTAAAAAAAAAACTTTTAAAACTTTCCTAAGAGATCTAGCTTTGCAAAACAGTTCATTTGAAACAGTTACTATCCTTTTCTTATTTCAAGGAACAATTCAATTTTCAATCACTTTTGATGTCTCTTAATCTAAGGTCAAAAAAGAAGACCACCAAGTATTTCTGGTAGTATTTTTATTTCATTTTGATAGAAAGCAAACCTGAAGTTGTATTCTATATACAGGCAGAGATTGATAGTCTGTGGACTAGTACCCATGTGCAAATAACTTTGACTACAATTTATGGGCAACAATCTATTTTATTACATAAAACAGAATTGTTTGGCTACACTTTTGAAATCAATACCACTACTGAACATCATGCACTAATGAATATTTTTGCTCACTATTGCTGAGAAGCCATGTCTTGCTTTTTGTCTCCATTTAGAAAACTGAGTTAAGCAATACCTCTTATCCCCTCTGCCACTCATAATACAATTGTGTATTTTATAAAAGATGTTTTACAACAGTACTTAATTCAAGATGTATTTGTGGTAATGTTAGTAACGTTCCTGCACATTTATTTGGAAGAACATTCAGTATCATGACACTTAATTCCAGGTATTTTAGACCTAAATAACTACCCTTGGCTTTAACCAATCATTACAGAATCTATGCTTGTTCTACCAATGTAAATTCTTACCCTCATTCCATGTACTTATGTAAATGAAAAGCCAACTTTGTCTGGGAGAAATCTTATGCACGAATACATCAACGTGTATGGCTTGTTTTTGAAAAGGATTAATGATATTTTTTTTTAAAAAAAATCACTGAATAATTGGAAGGTCCCCTAACCAGGTTTGCTTAAAGCTCTGCTTGGAAGAGATTGGAAGCAGGTGTGTCCAAAGGATGGGAAGAGGATTATCAATAAATCACTTCCTTTTAAATGAAGACCGCGCGCCTGCCGGCCAGCTCTTTCCTCCGGACGAACCCGGCTCCCTCCTCTTTGCTCCTACTTTTCCCGCCCCTTGTCCTAAAACCGCCAAGCGACTGTCGCGCTTTCCTTCCCCATCACTGCGCCTATTGCGCATGCACCTTCTTGAGGGCGGGGCTGAAGCCGAAGCCTGGTGAGCGGCGTCTGACAGAGCCGCGCATCCTCTTTCACTCCCTGCCGGTTCAGGGAGAGCCCACGGTGGGTCGCTGACTAGATCTCCTCCTCCGCCGCCGCCGCTGCCACCACCTCCGCTAACTACGTTGTCGACGGCAGCCCCGGTTGGCCTAGTTTATTTACCGCAACCCCGACATTTACTCTTCCTTTCCCTTCATCGGAAATACATTTTCCTCCCTTTACCCCCTCCTCTCTTTTTTTTCTTTTTTCTGCGCCCATTTTCTTTCTTCGCGCTCTCGCCCCTCGATTTTTTTTTTTTCCCCCTTCCTCTTTCGCATCGCACAATGCGGCTGAAAGGCCGGGGATGCTGCACCCGGAGCGGAGGCAACGGCGATGGGGAGGAAGGCAGCGGAGAAAGACGCGGGCCGCCCCCTCCGCCGATGCGGAGCCCCTTCGTGCACCGGCTGCACTTCAGCGCCCTCCAGAAAGCAAAGGTGGGTGTGTATGTGGGTACGCGTGTACGCGCGTACACATGCATGCGTGCAAGCAGGCCAGCGTCAGGAGAAAAAAAAAAAAAAAGCAAAGGAAAGCCACTTCACCGCCCCAAATACGTAATGGTGCCTCCCCCCCCACTCCCTAGGTCTCCAAACAAGTATGCGTGTGTGCGCGCCCCCGCGAAGCAGCAGTTGCTTGCTCGTGTCTGCGCCTGAGACCTCCACAAAACCTCTCGGGGCTGTATTAACAAGAGGTAAGCGTGTTGAGAGCGAGAAAGCGAAACAGCGTGGGTAGCTCTGCCTGTTAGCAAGAAACGGTACTCTTTGTTAGCCTCGTAAGCACCAACGCAGGCATTAGAACCCTTCCTTCTATCTAGAGCTGTAGCTATGCGCTGGGGCTGTTGCCTCTAAGTGTCCCTTGAGGTTAGTGTAGGGGAGGAAGGGCAGCAGCTACATGTGGGAAGAGGCGGGTATTAGTTGCTTGATTATCCTAACAAAGGGAGCTGAAGGCCACAGTAGATGGAGCCAAATTATTAAAATAAGTAGAGTAACTCCAGAAGGTATTCTTAAAAAATAATAATAAACCCCACGCTATATTTTTTGTTTCTCAAAAATGCAAATCGCAGCCAATTGGTATACTTGGGACTTAATATTTTTGGTCTTCTCCTGCTTGCTAGACCCCAAAAATAGTAATATCAAGAAGTTGTTGCTGTTTGGGGCTCCCTCTTTCCGTGTGCCCTGCCCCCCTTTTTTCTTTTCTTTTTGGAAGTTTTTCCCCCAGTCCATCATAGTTATTGGTATGTTTTTGTGGCCCTTCAGAATCCTGACACAAAGCATTGAGAGGTGGATCCTTGCAAACCACCTCTTTGGGCACCCATGCTTATTAGCACTATTTGTAGTCCCTTGTTTGGTTGAAGGCAAAACTACGGTAGTCAAGGAGTTGCAAGATCTTGATCCCTGAAGTTGTTGCTACTTCAGATTGCTGTCTTAATAATAATTATGGATAGAAACAATTATCAGTACCTGCCGAAAATTCGCATTCACTAGGATTATTCAACTGTCCTCAGTATTCCAATTTATTATTACCTTTTTAAGCTGGAGTCTCCCAGAGCATTGTATCCAATTCAGTTCCTACACCCATGTGATTTTGACTCCCAAAATAAGCTGACATAACTTCTTGATGGTACTATTTTTGGGGGTCTTGCAGGCATGAAAGACCAAAACTATCAGTCCCAAGTAAACCAGTTGGCTGTGATTGCATTTTTGAGAAACAAATACAGTACATATATCTTAATTGGTTCTAGGAAAACCAGCCAATCTCAGATATAGAATACTGACAGATACTTCTTGGTATGTACTCAAAACAGCCCCATCTTTTCATGCATTCATGCGTACCTACCAATTATGTGCTGCAGAAGTCAAAAGAAGAGAAGAGTGACTTGGAACAGAAGCTGTCTTGATATGTAGGATTTGTTTTATTAGAGGGAGAAAGAATTGAACTCTGCTTTGAGGTCATTGCCCTACCATCTTTACAAAGAAATTGCTCTATTTGAGAGAATAAGAACCATACTTCACTTACTAATATTTATGTTTTAAAGTTCTCCTGAGAATAAATACAATTTTAATCTCCATATCTATGTAGCCCAAAATGAGAAAGTTGGGCTTACTATATTCACCAGAGGGTGATGGCAAACTGACTGTGGCAGCTGAATATGATTGAGGTTTGCTGTAATTCAAGCTTAATCAAACCCAGTGGTTAATCAAGATTACTTAGAAGTACAGCAGTGATTTTCATTACAACTAAACTATACATATGCTTAAAATCTTAAAAACATTTAAAAGTTTAGTTGCAAAGAAACCTTAGCTTAATGTCCTAATATCTAAATTATTGTAGAGGCCATTTTAACGCCATTTTATTTTTATCAGTTATTTTTATCAGTTTACCTTCAGCTACGTTGTAATTCCAAGGATAGGAACATGAAATAAGATATATACCTCACATTTGATTGAGGACTTTGCATCAGAACTTCTCTGGGGTTTTTAATATGTCTGAAAATTAATTGATTTTGGAAATAGTGGATTAAACAAATTGTGGCCTAATGTGTGTTCTTTTGTGACGTTCTTTTAACAGTAATAATACAGGATATTCAGAGTATGTACAGAGAACCCAAGAGTAGTTACAATATTTCATGTAGGTAGCATCACCATAGAATTCTGATCCACTTATCTTTTTTATAGTAGTGGCACCAATATTCTGGTAATATTCTGTGTGCAAGAGCATGATGAGGAAGGCATTTTGTCTGTACAATAGTTATGTGGTCTGGAAATCACAGAAGTAATTTGCATTGATACCTGGTGCTATGTCACAAACAGAGTGGTGTTTGTAGTGGCCACATTGTAAAAAGACTATACAAAACTTGTAAATTGATAACAGTACTGTACTACTTTTGGGTAGCTTAACTATTTTTTAGCTTCCTTAAATATTCATTAAGATAGCTAAAACTGTTCATGATTTCCTTGAATCTTTGCTCTGTGATTTATAAAATTGAATTATTAAAAAAAATCAAAGTATAAACACTAGAAAAATGTGCTTATTATGTCCTCTTTTCTAGTTCCAGAATTATGCATGAAATTAAAAATGTGTCCATTCAGACCTGTCTAATCCCAGTCATCAATGATAATTAGTCATTGATTCACCTTTCTTTGCCAGCAGCTTTCCCTATTTGTGCTAAGGCATAGAGAAAGTGAAACATCAGGTTAAGTCTCAACATAAAAAAATGAAAAGTGTATATCAAGTCAGTATAGTGTAGCGGTTCTCAACCTATGGATCGCGACCCTATTTGGGGTCGATCGACCATTTCACGGGGGTCGCCAAGCAAGGCTGTCCGCCATTTTTTCCCCCTTTTCCGGCGGGTGCCTTACCTCCCTTGAGCTGGGCCAGCTGGTGGTCGGCCTGCTCCGTCTCTGCCGCTTGCCAGCTACGCCTCGGCCGGCGCAGGGGGCGGAACCACGCATGNTATTCACAGAACGTTGTTATATTTCCTATATTAATTGACAAATCCAATGTGTTCCTTAAACTAAGCTATGTTTTGATGTTACCAGTGTTAGTTTAAGCAGACCATGCAAAGGTTTAAATTAATTTGCTTCCTCCCCTTTCACATCAGGCTAGAAATAAACCAGGATTGATATTTACGTTGAACCCAAGATACAGTGAATTAAATTTTTACTTAATCATTCCATACTTAGTTGGCTTTACAAATCAATCAAAACTGTTAACCAATCCCTATTTGGGTTCACACAACACATTAAATCAGATCCAAAAATCAAACAAACGACATTATGAACCTTGGTGTGATATTTAAGAAAAATCTATGTAGGTGAAGGAGATTTTTTGCCCCTATTCTTTTTGCAGCCTAAAACTTTGAGAGTTGGGGGATTGTTTGAGGACTATAGGGAATCCCACCTTCTGATCTTTGCATAAGTGATATTCAATAAAATAGTGGATTTAGTAAGCACTTAACATCATGTATGTTTGAGTGTTTTTTTTTAAAAAAATCCTGTTCTTATTGTTTGTATAAGAAGGATTCCCAAAATATCAAATAACAAATGAAACTAAAAAGCATGAATTAAATTCATTTTTCCATTTCAGTTTCATGTAGTTCCTGAATAATTATGAATTGGTTGATAATAGCACTGAAATGTGTTAATATGCATCTAAACCTCCTATCAGTGTTTATTTTATGTAACTATTTAGAAACATTTATTTTTAAGTTATGTGCTTCTATGATTAAAAGTAAACTAAATGTATTAATATGTTTTTTTTTCTGAGTAGCAGATTCTCTTCTCAATTCCTGTTACTTTTTTACTACAAAGATATTTTTACCTAGTTAAGAACAAAAATTAGATTTTTAGGCATGTAAGAGTTTTAAGAGAACTAGAAAGCAGTAGATTGTGAGTTTTAGTCTATCCCTTGAACATTGCTTGATGATTTGGGGCCAATCACTCAGTCTCAGCCCAACCCACCTCATAGGAATGTTGTGTGGAAAATAGGCAGGAATATTAGTTATATTTGTCACCTTGAATTATTACGTTACCATATTATAAAGGCAGGATAAAAGTTATAATTTGCATGAAAAAATCCTAGAATTCTATATGTTCCATAAAGATTAACAACATAACATAGAATTTTTCTAATTGTTTTTTGTAGCTATTTCTTTTTTCTTGAACCCAGGAAACTAATCATCTCATGGGATTGACCAGCTGCAAAACTGCTTGCCTTGCATCTATATTGCATCTTTTCTGCTGGCTCACTCAGCTGTTTTCATATAATATAATGTTAATATAAATGAGAGATCGAATACAAAATAAGGGGGGAAGGTGGATACTGTTTTTCAGGGAGAAGAAAAGGCAAAGAGGAATATAGGTATGAGTAATTTTCAGATTGTGTTGCTTATCTGCTAATTTAGATATAGAGATGGTATTTATGGAATGAAAATATTTCAGATGATTCAAATTTAACTTCCACTACATAGATTTTTACTCATTTTTTTTTTAAAAAGTCTTTGTTGAATCACATTGCTTCATAGTCATCCTATCATCAAGATCTAAATAGCATATTTCTCATCTGTGGTTTCTAACAGATGAGTCCTCACCAGAGACAAGAGAAGTGCTTAATATAACCCTGAAAATGCACAAATTAGATTGCCTTAAATTCCATTAATTTCATTGGAAAATTGTCATATTTATGCTGAATTGAATCAGATCCTTAATTTTAGTTCCTTTGTGTGTTTGTTTATATTTAACATGCTATTAAAGTTGTTTAGTGAAACAACTTGGGGCAGAGATAAAGTTGTGTGGTGGAAAGCATAACACCTGCCATTTATTAAGATTTATTAAGATTCTTGAGCAAAACTCTGAGCCAGGTAGAATAAGGTACATCTTACAATCTTAAACAACTATATACATATTCAGAGAAACTGAACACAATTGCGGGGATCCGG